GATGACTAAGTTAAAACTAAAATATACCTTAGAACTTGGTCCTCAAAAGGAAGCACAAAGAGGTGAATGCTGAGGCTAGAGAAGGACTAGAGCTGGGGGATCTAAGAGAGGGTCCCCCTCCAAGAAAAGACTTGAGAGAAGAGGACCTGATTATCCACACAGCCCTTCCTGCTTTCAGATCATAGTCCCTTCACAGCTGTGGAATAGTGCTGGTGAAAAGGGACAGAAAGAGAATTCTCAGAAAGGAATAACCCAGTGGAAAATCCTCAGGTCTAGCCTCCTAGAAAGAAGGTCAGAGATTTACAGATGGAAAGGACTCTTCAAGGAAAATGATCACTTGAAAATCTCAACATAGAGAAGAAGAAATGTCTTGCAGAGAGGGTAAGGGACTTGCCCAAGGTCACAGGTAGTCTGTGGAAAAAGTAGGAATTGAATGTAGGTTTTCTCAGTGCGTAGAGAATATCAAGTTTCTGTGTTTATTGACTAGCTGTAATTTGGAAAAAGCTAGGAATTCTGCAAAGTTTATGTGAATAGGGAGCACATTTCGGATGTAGAGGACCACTTGTGCATAAGGCACAAAAGTGGGCAGTGAAAGTCATGCCTATGGAAGACCTAGTAGTCCAATATGGCCGAAAAGCTAGAATCCACATGTATATGGAATAGGGAATGTGAAATATCAGACCCTATGGAAAGGGAGGTGGCAGCCATACTGTGAAGGCTTAAAATGCCAGGCTGAGTACTTTGTGTTTGATTCTAGAATTAATGATGAGCCATGGACAAATTGCAATTGGGAGAGAAGACTGGTGAAAACTGCCTGTTCATTAGGAAAATTGTCATGGTATTTATGTAAGGGATCAATTGGAGAGCAGTGACTGGAGGCAGAAAAGACCCATTGGGAGGCTCTTGGAATAATCTACAAGAGAAGTGATGACAATTTGAGTTAGAGTAGTTATAGGGTGGAGGTAAGGGACAAGATAAAAGATATTTCATGAAGGAATCAACAAGACTTAGCAACTGATTTGATATGGGACAGAGGGTTGTAAGGAAGAGACAAGTATAAGTTCAAGAATGCAAATTTGGGTGACCAGAAGAATGGTGGTAACATTTCACCAAAAACCAAACCAAACCAAGCAGAAAGAGAGAGAGAGAGAGAGAGAGAGAGAGAGAGAGAGAGAGAGAGAGAGAGAAGTTCAATGAGGAGATGGGTTTAGAGGATATTGGGAGAATTGGGGCTCACTGGAAAGACAATAAGAATGTCTTGACTATGTGTGGATTGTAGTGTGAATCCTTTGTGTTTTCAGTTTTCTATTGGGTGAAATAAAGTTTATGCAACATTGGATCTGGTTTGCATTGATGATGAGGGCTCTTTGTATTTATTGGCCCTACATACATCAGGTATGAATTCTAGTCTGAGTCTCTTGGGAAAAGACCCTAGGTAAGGGGTGGGGGGAGCAGCAGGGGCTGCAATAGAGTCTTTGTGATTAGCTTCCCAAGATAGAACTTGCAGAAATCAGAGCTGGAGCTTCAGACTGGGAGATGCACTTGCCTTTCCTTAAAGGCTTAACTTCAGTCCCCCAGGTTCCACGTATGCTTGGGCCAAGCTGGAATAGGGAACACATTTGCAGATACGACCCAAGTGTTGGTTTGTTTTGTTCAACTTATGTGTACATAAGCACCTCATTTCTTCCTCACAACAACCTTGTGAAACTGGTTCTATTATCAATCCCCCTTTTACATATGAGAAGACTGAGGCTGAGAGAGATTAAGTGACTTCACTAGAACTACACAGCCAGGGAATGTCCAAGGCTAGATTCAAACCTGGGTCCTTCAATGACTAGCTCGACACTTATTCCATGGTGCCACATAGCTTTCTTTGTTTATTTTTTTTTCTTTTTTTGTGAGGCAGTGAGGTTAAGTGACTTGCCCAGAGTCACACAGCTAGTGAGTGTTATGTGTCTGAGGCCGAATTTGAACTCAGGTTCTCCTGACTCCAAGGCTGGTGCTCTTTCCGCTACACCACCTAGATGCCCCTCTTTGCTAATCTTTTATGAGGGAGGGTTCTAAGTGATACAAGGAGAAAAGAGGACATTAGTAGGTAATGACAGTATTATTTAAAAAAAAAAAGGAGACTACATCAATAAAACATTTTCTTTGTGAAAGTTTGTCCCAGTGTAGCTCACTGTCCTAGATCTCAGTGAGCCTCTGAATTACTAATTTAAAAAAAAAAATTTCCTATAGAGCTAGGGCACTTATTAATTCTATGACTGCAGTCAAGTCTCTTAAATCTTCTGAGACTCTATTTCCCTATTTGTAAAATTTGAGCAATGGTAATTTCACTAGCTTCAGTTGTGGAAAGAGCTTTCTATACAGACAAATGCTACAGAAATGGGAGCTATTGTTCCTTATCTTTTCATGAATTATCTGCTTAACTAGAGCTAAATCCCTCAAGCCTGTGGCCATACCTCATTCTCATTGCATTCCCAATATCTAGCATTAGACTGTAAACTCCTTGAGGCAGGGACTGTCTTGATTCTTTCTGGGTCCTCACTGCTTAGCACTGCACTTGGTACCTGGTAGGAGTTTAAACACTTGTTTAAGCAAGATGACCTCAGGCATCATTGATGCAGTGGATGGAGGACATGCTGGTTCTGCAGTCTAAGGTCTTGGGTTCACATTCCACCAAATATGTCCTTGGACAAGTCCCTTCCCTTGTCTGGGTCTTAGTTTCTGTCTCTGTAAGAGGAGGCTGTTGGACAAAAGACCTTAAGCTCCTTCCCAGCTCTGTCTGGCATCTTGTGATACAGCATGAGGTATTACATAGTTTCAATGTTTCCTTTTTTTTTCTTTTCTTCCTGCAGTTTTTCCAACCCACCCTGAAGCCATTGAGTATGTCCCCTGCTTGGCCCCATTCAGAAAATTGCAGACCCACCGTACCATCGTGCGTTTATTGTGCTTTTTCCTAGTCTAGACACAGCCTGGGTTTCTTCGTTTTGTTTAGAGGCAGATTTGAAAAGTGGTCTCTCAAAACTTGAGAAAAGACTTTACTCAAACAGAATAGCTTTTTTGTTTTAATTATATTTTGTTTCAGTTGTTATGAAATAAAGATTCCACCAGATGTTTTCTGGCAGTGAGTCAGATTTTCTGCCAGATGTTTTCTGCAGATGAGAGCTCAGCTTTATCCACTTGAAAGAAAGAAAGAAAGAAAGAAAGAAAGAAAGAAAGAAAGAAAGAAAGAGAAGAAAAGAAAAGGAAAGAAAAGAAAAGAAAAGAAAAGAAAAGAAAAGAAAAGAAAAGAAAAGAAAAGAAAAGAAAAGAAAAGAAAAGAAAAGAAAAAGAAAGGAAAGAAAAAAAGCCACTTTGGGAGAGAAAAATTTCTCTTCAGAGCCCTTAGGAATTCCAGTGCTAAGGAGAAACTGTGTTTCTTGAAATGAATCTTCTCAATGTTTAAAACTCAATGGGGAGGGTCTTCTCCAGTCAATAGTTTAATTAGGAATTCTTTTTTTTTTAAATCAACATCAACATATGTACCTCCTAGATTAAAAGTTCCAAACTTCCCAAAAAATAAAGTGAAGGAGAAACCAGGAGAGATAAAGGAGGGTGAAGTGAGGTTTATCTAAAGAAAAAGTCACAAATGCTGAAGGTAAAGGTGAATGAAGGGACTTAGCCTCACACAGAAGCTTGGCACTGCATCTCCAAACCCTTGAAAGGGGTTTTAAACTCACCAAGTCCAAGCACTTTATTTTATGGTTAAGTAAGTGGAGGGGTGGGGGGTGCTGGTACTGCCAGTTGTTCTCTGCTCTTATTCTGTCCCTTGTATACCATTTAGGGGCAGGCTGGCCCTCCTCCTCTTCTTCTTTTTTTTTTTTTTTATAAATAGGGCATCTGGATTTCTTAATCATAGAACCAAAATATTTCAAGTTTGCTTACAAGGCATCAGAGTGCCAGCTTGCTGGGAGATTGACACACCAGTGTATCTATTTATAACTTATTCCTGTCAAGGTGATTCTCCCTGATGTGTCTGTCACATGTGTATGTCTACATCTTCTAAGATTTTATATATACATATACACACACACATACATACATACATACATACATACATACGCATACACATATCTCACACCAAGCATTGTTATGGTGTCTGATGTGTTGGAATTCATTTGATTACATGCCAACCACTGTGAAGTAAATCTGCATGGATCGTAGAAGGCAGCTGAGTGAGAAGGGACCATGGAAACCATTGAGTTCCAAACCCCTTATTTTACAGGGAAAAAAAGAAAGGCAAAGTAAGTAAAGGATTTTCTGAGTCACCTCAGTAGAGCTAATGTCTGAAGGCAGGCCCTTGCACTCCGAACCCAAGGCTCTTCCGGCTGCAGCCTGCTGGAGACTGCACTGGGCCATCTCTGTTGGGGCTGACAGTAATAGTAAATTGTCATTACAAAAAAAAATCTTCAAAAATATGTTCAAAAATAAGAAAAAAACCATAACTTTCCGACTCAAATGAAATTTGACTCCTAGCAGTTTAATAGTGTACCATTGGCCCTGTTTCGCACCTTTCTGGTTTCCCCGGTTCCCAGCCCCGGCGCCCAGAGAGAAATAAGTGTTTGGTCAGTACTTAGTGGTAAGTTGACCTGCTTCACCCTGATAGAATTTTCACCATCATAATTTCATAATTAGGTTGTCAAACAAAAACCAAAGATGCAAGAACTCAAGTGTGATCCATCTGCATGAAGGTAGCTCTTAGATGCATTAAGATGCCAAGAGATGAGCCTTACGAAAAAGATATTGTAGTGAGAGGACAGAAGAGGATGAGGAACGGATGTCTGGGAGCACTTATGGCAAAGGTTCAAGAAGAAGATGAGCAGGTGAAGATGACAAAGAAGGGAAAGCAGCAGGGGCAGAAGAAGGAGGAAGAGGGGTAAGGGGAGGAAGAGGAGGAGGGGAAGGGGGAGGGGGAGGAGGACCAGAAGCGTAGAAAAAGGAAAGCACCACAAGGCACACTCACCATACCAGGGCCTGGGGATGGAAACACGAGAAATGATTACAGATGGTTCCTTCCCTCAAGGGGCTCACACTTTCCTGGGGAGACAATATGGACATATATAAATATATGCAACATAGACATAAGGTAATTTGTTAAGGGGAGGGCAGGAGGTGCTATATGTTAAATGCCTGTGGATCTTCAAATGCCCTGATAGAAATGGAGGATCAACTAAATTGTGAGTCAGCCAAAATACAATGATGTGCTATGCTGTGGACAGCAGCCGGGTCTGCATGAGCCGGTGAGAAAGAAAATATTAAAAGAAAACCAAAACATGAGGTGTGGCAGCATGTGTGTGTGTATGAAAGATAGAGAGACAGGGAAAGAGACAGAGACAGAGAGAGGGACAGAGACAGAGAGAAAGAGAGAGGGACAGAGAGAGAGAGATAGAGAAAGAGGGAAGAGAGAGACAGAGACAGAGAGGGGGACAGAGAGACAGAGAGAGAGAAGAGAGAGAGAGACAGAGAGACAAACAGAGAGATAGAGACAGAGAGTGACTAAGTGTTTAATAAACCCATGTTGATTGACAAGGTTCATGCATGTTTGGTGCATACAGGGTGCATTCCTTCATTCTGTTCCTTCTGAGTGTCCTTCCACAAGTGTGCACCACATGACCACATCTGCAAGCTTCCCATAGAATAGGAATGGGGCTTGGCTCTAGCAGACCCCAGTTACAGAGTAACTCTAGATTACTCTTGGGGTTGAGAAGCTCCAGTCAGGGGTTATGTATGAGTGAGTAAGTGAGTGTGAGTGTGTGTGTGTGTGTGTGTGGTCATTGTTGTTTTCATTTTCATGGCCCCAACGAGGTGGCACACTGGGCAGGGTCTTGGACCTCAAACTAGCAGGACAATTTCTAACCCTGCTTCAGACACCTGAAGAAATGAATGCAGCATTAGCTCCATGGTTACTATGTGCAAAGCCCCATAATTAGAAATGTGAGACAGTCCCCACTCTCAAGGAGTTCACATTAAATAGAAGAGACAACACATGTTTTTTGGTGTCAGCTGTGAGACAGTTGGAAAGATCTGGAATTGCTTCTTTAATGGCCTTGTTTAATGTGACATTTACTAGTTGTGTGACCCTGGGATAGTCACTTAGCCTTATCTGCTTCCATTTCCTCATCTGTAAAATGGGGATGATAATAGCACCTACTTCTTAGGGTTATTTTGTGGACCAAATGAGATACTATTTTAAAGCACTTTGCAAACCTTAAAGTGCCACAAAATGCTATTGTTGTTGATATCAATAGGGACAGTAGAGAAAACACAAACAACAACAACAGCACCCTGGCAGATGTTTGCCCAGCCCCATGGACACAAGTGACTTGCTACGGCAAGGTAGTTTTATCCTAGAAACAATCAAAACTGAGCACTGGCACGGGAGTCTGGGGACCTGCCTTCCAGTGTTTTTAAGTCATTGTGTAATGTGGTCCAAGATGCTTAATTTCTCTATTGCTCAGCTCAATCCTTTGTAATATACAGGGAAGGAGATAGAATATATCAAGCTGAGGTCCTTTTGGAGTGGAAATTCTCTACCTCCTCATAGTTTTGTAAGAAGCAGGGAATAGAAAAATGAAAACACAATGAGGAGTTTCCCCCTCCTTCCAAGTGCAGTATTCAGAAAATGGAATAAATCTACTTCCTACCAAAAAAAAAGTATTAAGCAAATGTTCCCAGTCAAGTTTTCATGACCCCCAACTTTGGGAACAAGATGACATTAATTTGAGAATGAAGAAGGCTGCAGGGATGTTGGGCATTGTCACCATCTATTTGAAGAGAACCATGGTTGTATTGGAGCCCTCTATACATCTTTACTTATCTCATCTGTAATCCAGCCCTGGGGATTTGCAGGAAAATACCGTGCAATGTCAACTTTGGACTTTCACCATAAGCATCCCACCCCAGGGAACTATCAAGTTATCAGTCTTTACTACTGAAAACATAACACCAGTTTAAGTCTGGCTACTCCCAATGGTTCAGGTTACATTGAGGTAATATTTTGAGTAACTTGGAATACAGAAAGATTTTCACCCGAAAGACTAATTTAAATTGCCCATGTTTATGGCCTGAATTGCTCTCTCTGTGGGGTCAATCTTGGTATAAAAAAGCTTCCTTTGCAAAAAGGAAAGGGCCCTCACATTTCTGAGGTCGACACAAATGTGAATCAAATACTCCCTCTTCCGAAGAACAATATTTGGAGAGTTTGTGGGCCCTTAAAACGCTTTGGAAAATTCTTAATGGTGGCTGCTGAACAAATGGGACCTTATCATCTTCTGAAATACAGTTTTCATTCTTCCTGTTGGTGATCCATAAAGCAGATTAGATGTAAGCCTTGGATTGGGGAAATCTCCTCAGAGAATACGGAAAGGAACACCAACCACCTTGGTGGCCCCAGCTTGTAGGAGTAGCTGGGGTCTGGCTAGTCCTTGCCCAAAATATCAGGACCTCCTTTCATCTCCTCAAAGCAGATCTCAGGCAGTAAGACACCACATACCATTCCTCCTGGAGCTGCCATCCTTGCTCTTTCTTTCATCTTCTCCATATTGCTGGTTCTCAGGTTCTCAGGGCCTCTGCTTTTGAAATAATGGAGTCACAAAAGAGAGATGTATTTGGCCCAGAATGGTCATTTTTCTTGAAACACTTAAATTATTTCTCTGCTACTGTCAGAAAAGGTGAACGTGGAGCCAACTGACTGTTGACTTTGGAAAGATCAAGTTCGGCTCTGGGCCCCCTCAGATGTAAAACCACATGTCTTTGAGGCTTTTTTTTTCCATCTTTCAGCTACATCAGAGCCGTAGCACCAATCCTAATCCATCCTCTGAGGACACAAACAAAAAGGGTTAGTGGGAATATCCAAACCAAGAATTAGCAGCTTTAAATATGGGGCACATTTTCTTATTTGGACACTTGTATCCCAGCCCTGCAGCCCCTTCCCCCTTCAATACATCTACTCTCCCGGTAAACAATCCTAGTCAGTATGAAGTTGTTTCCATTAGATCTGCTACTAGCAAAAAGGCAGGGTCTTTCCCTAGGACACCATCATGGGTGTGACATACTTCCTCTCTGCGGAACACTCCCACCCCACCCCATCTCTGTGCCTGACTTTTCAATCCTCTGATGACCCAAACAGACGTAAGTTTCAACCACCCTTAGGTCCCATCACCATGCTATCCCTTCCCCAGATCCATCTCTCCACTTTCCTCCATACAGACTCTTAAGAATGAGCCACCTTCTTCTGGAATAACTGCAACCACAGAGGTCAGCCCATCCTCTGAAACATGCTCCTGCTTGGCTCTTTTTGCCCTAGATGAACAGTTCTGGGTTATAGCTCCAGTTTCTAAA